CCCAGAAATGTGACACAGATTATCTTATTGAATTCTACAGCAAATCTGCAAGGCATGTGTAATATATAATTATCACTGAAGCCGAGGAAAGGAAAACTTAGGAGGTCAAAGGACTTGTGTTGGGCTGTAAAATCCTCTAGTGGCACACCCTGAACCAAACTCCCTGCCTGCAGAATCTGTGTTCTTTCTGCTTGGGTTTGTTTGCACTAACTATTACTGGGTTTGTTATTTTTTTCTGAATATAAAAGCGCATACCAAGTAAAGGAGCAAGTTAGAATTTTTTTTTTTTTTTTGGCCACACGGCACAGCCTATGGGATCTGAGTTCCCCGACCAGGGATTGAACCCGGGCCCTCAGCAGTAAAAGCGTGGAGTCCTAACCTCTGGACTGCCAGGGAATTTCCAGCAAGTCAGAATTTAAGAACCAGCCGCCTGTCTGACCCCAATGCCCCCAGTTTTGCCATTTCACCAGGCAACCACGTCCTCCTTCACAGTGTTCCCTCCTTTCCTGATCAAGCACTGAAAATACCAGGTAAATAGGTTCCAATGCAGGATCAGCAGTGCAGGCAAAGCTCGTCAGAAACTGCGGTGCATTTGCATGCAGCATCTGTGTGCTTCCATTTTCCTTTCTGGAATGATCCCTGTCTCTTGGACTGGAACCTAAGCTAAGGAGTTTCACTATCTACGGGGAGAAACACATAGACTGAGTGCTCAAGGCCGCTCCGCCTAAGACCACAACACAAGACAAAGGAAGTGACCTTGGATAACGGGGGACAGGGAAGGGAGCTTCAGAGTCTCCCAGTCTGGCCAGAGCAACAGCGAGCCAGGCTGCCCCGAGGGAGGACGGACATCCAGCTAAGACATCAAGACTCTCATGCTCACGTTTGCAGAGTCCTTGATGGTCTGCCTGCACGATGATTTCTTTTTTTTTTTTTTTTTCACACTACGATAGTTAATTTTATTTGTTCAAGGACTCATCTTGCAAGCATTAAACCAAGCTTGGGCTTTGATTCTGGAAGCCCAGATTCACATACTTAGGAAGATAAGAGCAGACTGTGCTCCATGTATAGGGATGAAAACTAAAGGCTCGTGGTTAATCACACTGTAGTTTTAAGTTTCTACAGCCTAGCAGCCAGATGTCACAGGTCCTTCAGGTCCTTCTGGATGTCCCAGATGATTTCTTTTTATACCCTCACAACGCTATGGAGTAAACAAGGCAGATTTTGCATCATTTTAACAGATGGGTAAAATCCAGCAGACACTTGGAGACTTCAAGCACTTCGTCCAAAACCAGAGTCAGTTAGGGCAGGGACTGGATGAGAAATCATGCTTCCTAATTTCTAGTCCCCTGTCTGTCCCCTACAGCTTGCTTCTTCTCCAAAGCATACAGGAAAGATAATAAAATCATAAATAATACTAATATAACAAAGAGAAAAAAGGAACGTGCGGGAATTACCATTTCTTCTTTCTACTCTGGATGGGTGGGTTCCTCTCTCCTTGGCATGGCTGCCACATCCCCACTTTAAAACATATTTATGGTAATTTCACAAGGTTATGGTATGACTGCTAAAAATAAATCACAGCTATACAAATATCTTTCCCTTCTAGAATAATTACCTGTGTCTACATGGCTGGGCTTAACCTGGTTAGTGGATTGTATTTTCTTCTCACTTAAGACTCTGTACCTACCTCCTAAATTTCTCATGAACTGAGACTGATAAGAAGAGAACTAAGAAATGTGTTGTAGAGAAAGGCGGAGGCTCTAAGATGTCTTTAAAGACACCAAACACAATGCCTGGTTTCATAATCTGTGGGAGAAAATGCGTGAGAGATAAAAGTACTGATGTAGATTAGGAAAACCTGTATTCATCTTTACACAGACTGAAGGAACTTACACACAGAATCAGAAAGCAAACGCCAATAAAAATGCTTGTGTGGGGCTTCCCTGGTGGCGCAGTGGTTAAGAATCTGCCTGCCAATGCAGGGGACACGGGTTTGAGCCCTGGTCCGGGAAGATCTCGCATGCCGCTTGCAGAGCAACTCAGCCCGTGCGCCACAACTACTGAGCCTGCGCTCTAGAGCCCGTGAGCCACAGCTACTGAGTCCGCTCACCACAACTACTGAGCCCATGCGCCACAACTACCGAAGTCCGTGTGCCTAGAACCCATGCTCCGCAGCAAGAGAAGCCACCGCAATGAGAAGCCCGCGCACCACAATGAAGAACAGCCCCCTCTCGTCGCAACTAGAGAAAGCCCGCGCACAGCAACAAAGACCCAGTGCAGTCAAAAATAAATAAATTAAATAAATAAATTTATTTTTTTTAAAAAAGTGTGTGTGTGTACGCACGCATGTCTCGGGGCGGGGGGGGTGGTGGTGGTGATTGAAACCTACAGATCTGGGTTCCCTTAACTTTTTTCCCAGTGAATCTTAATATTTAAGGCTTGTTACTTTTTTTTTATATAATATTTATTTATTTATCTAGGCTGCGCCGGGTCTTAGTTGCAGCACGCAGGATCTTCATTGCAGCATGTTTATTTGCAGCATGTAGGCTCTTAGTTGAGGCATGTGGGACCTAGTTCCCCGACCAAGGATCAAACCTGGGTCCCCTGGATTGGGAGCGTGGAGTCTTACCCGCTGGACCACCAGGGAAGCCCCAAGGCTGGCTACTTTGACATACAGATTTTTGAGAAAGCATTTCAGAAATTCTGCCTGAAGTGAACTGTCAATGCTTTAGGAAGGGACAGAAAAAAGAAAAAAGAAAGCCAAGATTTCCATTTGAAATGGATCATCTCTGAATGGGTGTGCATGCTATCAAAAGAAGGAGCAGATTCTCAGCCCTATCAGCTGATTAAGATCCCCACAATGACTACCTTCCAGTCAACCAATAGCAGCTATAAGACATCTAAAAAATAACTCACAATGACAAAATAATTATTTTAGGAGATGTCAAGATTAAGATGGGAAATGTGCTGCCCCCCGAGAGGAGGGTGGAATTTTCTTTTTTTTTTTTTTAACTTAGAACTCAATTCTGCTATTAAATAGTGGAACTTCCACATAGGAAATCCTCAACCAGAGCTTAAAAGATTTTGGAAACACAAATACAGGAATCATATTTCTTCCTCCCTGGCTCACTTATTTCTCATTCCTAGTCAATAGCAGACTTGGCACAATTATCTGGGGACATGTACTAGACACAGATCATGAACTAAGCACAAGAGTTGTGTTTTAGCAAGAAGAAAACTCTAGCTCATTCATGCTCTCCACTCTTGTAGATTACAGCTATAAAAATCTCATTTCCCAGTACTTACTAGCTAATACGTTTTTCACCACTCGCCAATTTCCAGAAAGACTATGTTAAGGAACTAACCCATCCATCAACCTCGTTACATCCACCACTAACCAATCAATTAACGGGAACCAGAGAGTGCTTTCAATAGGAGATCGATGTAGGCCAAAGGGCTTAAAACAGCATCTCTCCCCAGCTTGTGAGTTAAGAATTTACAGGTTAGCTCTCTCCTCGATGAAACATAAAGAGATCAAAAGATCACTTGCATTACAAGGCACTGTGCCCCAGGGGCCAGATGATTGGTTCAGGAGGAAGTGCTCCCATAGTCCAGAAGGAAACATTATGGATTGGTGTGTTTGGAGACACATTATGAAGAAAACAGGACTTCAGTGGGGCCTTGAAGGATGGGCAGGTGGAGAAAAATCACGTGCTTTTCCACAGAAGGGGTTGGTGATTTCTATTGCTGTGCTCCACCCTGGGAAGCCAAAGCCCTGGGAAATGATCTTATACTAACTGCTAGAAGTTATGCTAGAATGAGTTTTGATTCCTGTTTTTATTTAGTACAAGGATCTAGAGTGAGGTGCTCCCAGTTACTTGGTAAGGTTGGCTTTTGAGAGTTAAAATGTAGAATCAATATATGACTGAAAAAAACTTAAGACGAACTAAGTCACATAAGGAAAGAGACTGGCTCCCAGGCATTGAGTCGAGTCCTGACTAACCTCATTCACACATTGGGCCAGGGAATATATCAGTACATTCATAGGAATTCTTAGTCAGCCATGGAAGCCTGGAAGATGCCTACAGAAGGCAAGACCTAATGATGCCTACCCACAAGGTCTCCAGGAAAGAGGAAACTTTAGAAAACAGCGTCTATGCATTCACAGTGTCTGAGAAAGGAGCTTCCTAAAGTGGACATGGATGCAGGCTTGCTGCCGCCAGACTCAAGGTTCTTGGCCTCCTGCAAGATGGCTGCCCCAGGAGTTCTCAGCCTGATAATATTATTAAGTGCTAGGTTTACCTTGCCTTGACTATAAACCCACACACAAAACTTGTGATTATGGTTTATCAGGGAGAGCATGTGCTGGTTCCTGTGTCATTTCCCACTGACCTGGCATATCTTACTAGCATCCTAAGGTCAAACCATTGTTGTGAGAAACAGTACTATGAGTTGGCCTCAAAAAGAAGACTCTTCAGAGCATGGTTTAATGTGATTCATGTTTCAGCATCAGTAAGGTACACAGAAGGTAGAGAGTGCACCCTCATAGGAGCCCCCATGGGGCTGAGCACTGAAACAGCGACAGATGTCTATTCACTGGGATACACACAGAGGCTAAGAGCAGGTCCCTCAATTTCCCCATTGATAAACTGGTAATAATTACAGCTACTTTATAGGAGTGTTATGAGGATTAATAGCTCCTGGCACTCAGTAGGGACGATGTGTTTGCAGCTCTTATTATCCTTATAACTTTACAATCAGCATGCGAGTTGGGAAAATACTGACCTAATGATTATGCCCACCTCCTCCACCACCCACATCATCAACCACTTTACATGGCGAAAGTGGGAATCTGCTGGTTATCAGCCATTGCACTGTCCAGGTAAGATACACCCACTCCATACAGAGAGCTAATGAGTGGCCGATCCCTTGCAGCGGAACAGATGGGCTGAGGGCCCAGGAATAATGCCACAGGCTCCAAGCACCAGGGGCAAACTCACCACGTAGAGCTTGCGCCAGATGACGGCCCATTCCCGCAGTGTCGAGGTGAGCTCCTGTACCAGTGGGAGCTCCCCGGGAATCACAGTCTCGTGCTGCCTAAAGAGAACAGAAAGATGCTCCCTTCACTCTGGGTGGATCACCGTGGCTTTTCTTGATGGAGGTCATGATCCCCACAACTCAAAGATGGGAATGGGCTGGTTGGGCTTCAACCAAAAAAAAACCTTGTCCATTTAGGGAAGGTTTGGGTAGAGAATTTTTACCACATCAAGCAGCTGAGAAAAGAGAAAGAGCTTAACACACCCCGATTCTCGAAATGAATGGGTATAGAGCCCAGCCTCTATCTCCCCATTCTGGATCCTTACAGGAGCTTCAAATACCAACCAGGCTGGCTACAGCAATTGCCAGGGATGGAAGCCCAAATCCAGTACTTTCGCTGGTTCTGCCAAGCAGCCATTTCATTAGGGACGGTGGGTGGGTGGAGAAGTGTTCATGGCACAAGGGTCCTGGGGCTTGGAGCCTCACACAGGACCTGCTGTGGGACTGAGGTGGGACCCTCTTTTGCAGTGGTACTAGGTTTGTTTCTCATCTGCTGTCTCACTGCACAGAAAACGTACATATACCCAAATCCTCACTTACAGCAGACTTTTAACAAGGCAAACCTGACACTCATGCACATAAATCCCGTCTGGTATTTTTATGATTAGCAAAAGGAGAAAAGGAGAGAGCGAAAGCAGGCAAACAAATGGGGATTAGTGGTGGGACTGCCAGGCGTAAATAAGAATACAAGACGCCCCGTTAGGTTTGGATTTCAGATAGATTAAAATAATTTTTAAGCGTAAGTATGTCTCAGGAAATATCTCAGACATGCATGCAAAAAATTACTTGTTATCTGAATTTCAAATTTAACTGGGCATCCTGCATTTTACCTGGCAACACTAGTTGGTTGGGAATATGCCCCCAACCCTGCCCTTCCACCAACGTGGCTGTAAGTGACCCTGGAGGCTGCCTAGGAATCAGAAAGAAGATTCTCCAGGAGGGCAAGACAACTGCTTTTCAGCCCTGATTATGTGTGAATTTGGGCACATCTCCATCTCTCGTCTATAAAACGAGGGAGCAGAACTTATGGCTGAGAATGTTCTTTGCCGCTGTTAGCCACAGTGCCTCTGTGACCCACTCCACACTCTCTAACGGCCCTGGGATTCCTGCTCCAGGCTGTCTTTATTCCCTCCTTAACTCTCCTGCCCGCTGGCTCACCAGCTAAGTGGATTTTCTCTGCAGAGCGCATTCGCACACATTAGTTAGTTCATACTTTCATATCAAGTTCATGACCTACGTGGGGACAGGTTTGTTTTCTCTGATTTGCAGGGGGAAAGCCCCAGGTGCACTGACTCGTCCAAGGTTCAGAGCTGAATAGTGCAGGGTGTTGTATGCTCACCTATCATCCCCCAAGGTTCCCAAACAGGCGGCTCTCAGGTCTTAAGGGCCAAAGAGCACCAAATATTCATATACGGGCACACTCACACGCGCATGCACACGCACGCACGCACACACACACACCCCACATGCGCGCGATCAGTGAGCAGCCAGTGCAAGAGGAAAGTAAAGGCCCTCTCCGTTCATTATCTGTCTTTACTGTTCTGTGGAAGGAATAAGTATCGAAACAGAAGACAGAAGAAGGAAAGATGTCAGGAAACAGTTTTTATTCATTTCCCTTTCATCCGAGAAGTGGAATTGATGAGCTGAGACAATAATGCACAAAATGGTATTTTCTGATTTCATAAAATCTGTAAGGATACTTTACATCTTCCTCACCTGTTAGGAGTCTTCCTACATTAGAACTTACCCACGGTCTTCTACAGTGGCCTCTTTCAAATGGATATACGTTTCAGGGAAAATACCCTACGGAGAGAAGAACTTGGGTTATGTGGCCGTAAAAATCTCAGCCCAAAGTAAGGAGCACAGACAGCAGCAAGGATGAGTGGGGGAGGGGAAAGGACGCCTGGACAACAGCTACAGTTTGCAGTCAAGGTTGCGGGACATCAATTACATCACATGCCTACCTAAATGAAAGCAAGTCTGAAACACTGAAAAGGTATAAATTAATCCTTGGGTTCAGAGAGCATAAAATAAATGCTCTGTAAATGACCAGGCATACATGCCCGGGTCAGCTCAGAGCTGCCATAATGATAAAGTGTTTAACAGTGAGATCCTAAAACCCCTCCAGGTCCTACATGCCATGATATGCTTCCCTTAAAGGGTTTCATAATAATTAGTGAGATGGAGGGCTATGTACTTACTGGCCCGTAAAATTATAGTGATTTTCTAGAGTCATTCCCCTCAGCACTTTCACTTAAACAAAATGCATGGAATCAATTAGGACTTGTTATCTGGTTATTTTTAGCACTTTCCAGTCTCAAATTGCTCTCCATTCTATGTTCCTAAGAGGCAATTCGTCGTCAGTATTGCGACATTGCCCGTGGGGAAACTAAGCCCAGAAAGACCTAAGAGAAACACTGTAAAGTGGTGGGTAAAAACTGCAGAACTGAAGACTGCATCTAACCAACAGGAAGCCATGGATATGAGTTTTCTTAAAAGCCGAAAGCTTCTGTTATTCAACCGCATGATATGCTCATCAATAAACAGAGACACTGCCATCTAGAAAAGCACTGCTGGTCCCTGTTTTATGGTACTTTTCAGGCCAGACCAGGAGAAGCAGAAGAAGCTGTTCAACAGGCCCCATTGGCTCAACTGCTCATAGCCCTGAGACTGTAGATGTGCGACCACGTGGACACCCAACGTCAGGGGAGACTGACCACAGGATGGGAGAGGGATGGCTCACTCCCTGGGAGGCTGGGTCAGGGATGCGTGTGTACCCAGTGATCCTTAATCCATTCAGAGCCAGAAAACTAGTGCATTTCAACCCCGGTTGGTCTTGCGTCTAGTTTTATGTGCTATGTTTATCTGAGCAATTCTCTCCTTGCTCTCTTTTAATCCTTTGCCAGTAAAACAGGAAACAGCAAGAAAATTTGAGACTATGCTGCTCCCAGCATTCGTGATGACAAGGTGGATCCTGCCACTGCTCGAGTCAGAAGCAAAATGGCCATCCTTTCCCGCCAGGCAGGAAGAACCAAAAAAAAAGCACAGGCATACCCGCCCTTCCTCGCGTTCAGAAACGGGCAGGTGTGGGGCATATGAGTGAGGAAGCATTATTCCAATCTTGTGACTCATGAAGACCCAGAACACACGTAGAGACAAGGTAACACCGACCTCTTTCATTATAGGGACAGGATTCAGAGTGATTTCGGAAAACCAATCAAAGAGTTAAATACAGACAAAAATTCAATGTGTGTGTAATTCCTTTGGGGGCCAGATTAACGGGGTTCTGAAGCTCCAGATCTGTCCTAAGGATGCCTAAGAAACCTTGGGTGTTTCTTCTATCCGCTAGGTTGAGGTAAATGTTTTGTTGACGACGATCTTTGTGGAGAACCAGGCTTGGATGCCCATCACTCACCTTGAGGACAGGATGCTGAGTGAAATGAGCCAGACACAAAAGGACAATTACTGTCTGATCTCACTTGTATGAAGGACCTAGAGTAGTCAAATTCATAGGGACAGAAGTAGAACGGGGGTTAACAGGGGCTGGAGGAGGGAGGAAGGGTAAGTTTGCGTTTAGTGCGTACAGAGTTTCAGTTTGGGGTCATGAAAAAGTTCTAGAGTTGGATCGTGGTATGTTTGCACAACAATGTGAACGTACTTAATACCCCTGAACTGGCCATTTTAAAAGAGTTAAAGTAGTAATTTTTTTTTATCAAGTATATTTTACTACAATAAAAAAGTTGTCCAGAAATCATAAAAAGGCGGAGCGTCGAAACCACTCAAAGTAGCAGTTATCAGGAGCCATATTTGCAGGTTAAAATAAGATGTAACACCGCTGGTCCCAAGGAATATCCTGGCAGAAGATTTTTCAAATCAGGAAGATAAAGGACCAATTAACTGTTTCAAACGTCTATAATCTGATGACTGGTCTCCTAATAACTGGGAGAAATCTAAAATAGAAACATTCATAATACAAGTGGCTTATTTTGTAATAGACTAAGCAGATCATAAGCAGATAATTTATACTGGGTATACAGACATGACTTTCACGTTAAGAGAGTACCTATGTTGTTGTGTTTTCAGTCTGTCACTTGCAGGCATCATCTTTCCATGATAACATAGGTCCACTTACAGCCATTTAATTGCTCTGGTAAATCGGAGGCTGCAGGCCCTTTCCTACACCATTCTGACACACAGAAAGCCAGAATAAACCTAGGTAATATATTTCTGATTCACAGCCTATCTCTCAGTTTTGCTTGTGCTATCTCAATGCAACCTACCCACTTGAGGGGGAAAAAAAAAATGAACTAATGATTTTCCAGCTATCGCCCTTATCCATAATTCCATAATCCTGCCAGGATCGATAATCAGTTTCTGCAAAGCTCTTGGCTTCTTCCATTTGTAAAACCGCTAGCATGTTTTATCACCACTCTAACGGTTAGGTCTGCTTGTAAATAACACCAAAAATTTCCATTAAAACAATAGGCTTTTCAAATAGCTCTTCCCCTAAAGCCTGGCAAACAAGGAAATAGCATTAGGAGTAGCATTTCAACTAGGCTGGATTCCCTAATGAAGGGGTGTCAAAGTTGAGCATAATTCATGACAGCTGACTTGGAATTCCCTGTTTTTCCTACTAGAATGATATTTCAACTTATAAGTCAACAAGGAAATGCATGGCCCTTGTTTGTACTATTATTTCACTGAACTACAAAGTTTAGCTATCAAGAACTAAGAAAAGCTCTTACTGAAATAATTCTTTTCAAGAGTGAGATTGGATGGTTAAAAGGGTTTCAAAAAACTTTAAAACACACCGAGACCTTGTCATTTAGATCTTAGTGAAGCACCCCATCCACCCACTTTCCAAAGCAGACAACAGATGGGTTCTGATGTATCACAGGGTGCCTTAGAGATGTTCCGAAAAGATTCTTACAGACTGTAGACTCTCTGAAAGGGAAAACTGTGGTCTGGGGCCTTGTTTCAACACAATTCACATTCACCAGTTAAAAAAATTCCCTTGGATCTTAAAGTTCAGATGATCTTATCTGAGAGTGGATTTTTGTTTATGTTTTAAAATTAACTTTTTTTTTAAAGGATTGGTAATTAAGTGACATAAGTATTGCTGCTCCTGAAGAAATGTAGAACTTCAAAATTGTTCACTCTATTCATGCTTTGAAAAATAACTACCACCTCCATAATTATGAGTAAAATAAACACTATACGGTTAAACCCAAACCAAGAAGCAGCGGTGGCTGTAAACGAGGTTCTCTAGTTAACAAGCATCCCAGAAGAAAAGGTCTTCTGCTTTGGTCCTATCATGCTCTCATTCACGCCAGAACGTCTGCTATCTTAGGTCCTTATATGAAAGCTTGGGGCAACTAAAGTCAGCAAGAGATTATTCATTTAATCAAATAATTTATCACTGTTTTCATTATAATTAAGCTGAAAATGAAGACATGGGACACAAGCATCTAACTGTGGGTAGAAAAATTCAGCATCAGGATTTGGGGAGGGATAAAAGGATCAAAATTGTGGGAGTTGATACCTGCATTAAAAGCAAATACGCCTTTATTTTGGTAGATTAGTAACCTGTCACAGTTAATAAACTGTGTGTGTACACACACATGTGCAAACACTGAGTGTTATCTGAGAGTCAACAACATAGAAAGCTTGATAGGACAGTCCTGTTTTGGGGGTTTTTTTGGGTGTACCACGCAGCACATGGGATCTTAGTTCCCTGACCAGAAATCGAACCCGAGCCTGCTGCATTGGAAGCACAGAGCCTTAACCATTGGACCACCAGGGAAGTCCAGGACAGTCCTGGTTTTAAATGGCCCTATACCTTGTGGGAAAGTGTTTTTCTGGGCCCGTAGCTCTTTTGAGACTGTGTGCGAGCATCACTTCTGTATTGTACCATATCTGAAGAGTAAAGCCTGTGGATATGTGAGGGGTTGTTTTTGTTTTTGTTTTTTTTTACTTGGCTGTTGATAAATTCTGAAATGTTCCTCTCACCCCTCCCAATTCACTATTTTGCATGTGAACTAACTGTGAAATAGTACGACAGCATCCACTTTGTTCTTTTCAAAAGGAAGTGCTGACAGGCTATGCTGTCCCAACGTGCGGTGTCACAGGAAAAGTGCTGACCTGACCTAAAATACACTGAGGGGGGATTAACCTAACACAGATTTTCTGTAGCCTGATGATTAGCAGTTTTGGCACTGCCAAAAGGAACCCACGAGGGTCAGTATTTTTCAAACTCTTTGCCCATGATGAGATAGCAACCCAGCACTACTATCATAAAATATACTGAAAACTACATAAAATACTGTAAAATATATACCTAACACAAAAGTTTCCTGAAACACTACTTACCGTCACATTCTATTCCCTTTCTATCTTTCAGTGTTGTTTTTAAGAAAATGTTGGTCATAACCCACTCTACTGATTTCAGTTTGAAAACTACTATTCTGGTTTAACCATTTTTTAATAAAGGAAAGAGTCAAGTGGAAATGGGGAGACCCTCTGGTTCTGAGATTTCAGCACTGGAACTAAAGGATAAAGGGAGAAGCCCAGGTCCCCCCACAAAACAGAGCAAATGTCCCTGTGTGACCCTACGGCTCAGCTTGAGGGAACCAGTAGCAAGAAGTCCGCAGAGGCCCTACCTGGGGTGTCAAATTCACCTCCGGCCTTTATCCTTGAGTTGGCTGGTGGGAAATATGGCCAAGGTCAGAGAATTTGCTTTCAAATCTAAAGACTAGCCGTCAAAGAGAAAGCAAACTAGGTCTACAGACAGCAGATAATGGAATCAGATACGACCACACAAAACTAGCACACAGATTTCAAACTAAAACGATAAGCCATACCTTTTTAGATTTATTTTGGAGGGTATATCCTCTGTACCAACCTGTCAGGGTAGAAGAGGACACAAAATCTTTTGTTATCTGGGACAATATAAAGACATTAGCAATATACGTCCTCATCTTAGGATACTGGGATGGAATCTAGATCTACTTCAGAGCTTTATTCTCTTGATAACTAAAGGATTGAAAGTTCACTTAGAACCATGCCTCATCCCTACTCCTTTGGAGAAAGGACAGAACAACAAAAAAACAAACAAGACAGAAGGCAGCCCAACCTCTCAACACCTTAATACCTCCCAGCGTTCAATGAATGTTTTTGTATAAATGAATATGAACTTTCATCCATTTATATACATTCTGAAAGTCACCTTATCCTATTACGATAGATTATACTATTAAAATAGATATTTTAAAATAATTTATATATATTCGCTTTCTCTCCTACTCCCACTTCCCTCCTCCCCAAGTTCCCAGGTTAAGAACCAATATTCTGGAACAATTTTAAATCGGAGTAGCAAACCTTATATGTATAAATATTTACACCTAAAAACAAACTGAAATAATGAAACAACATTTTAAACAATTCTTGGCAATGTTACAATACCCCCTACAATGAAAAGATTTTATGTGTTTGCTTAACGAGGCTTTAAGTAAAGTCTTTAACTTCCTTTTAAAAATTCCGATCAATACACATATTCCTATGGATGTGTTTCCCACCCTCTATCTTGTAAAGGGAGTATACTAATCTAATCTGTCCATAAACAGATATTGTATACAAAATATTTATTGAACACCTACTATAGGTAATTCACTGTAATAATTTTCCTCATTCCCCATGCCCGTGAGGCATCAGTGTGGTCATCTTGCTTATGTAAACCCTGTTGTCTGTGGTCCAGATGTGTAAAGTAGCCATACACACACAGTAAGCAGACGCAGGCTGTAATGAAAACTTTAGGCATCATATTTCTGGACAAAGCTATTATATAACTGGAAAATATACACACACTCCCATGTTCATAGCAGCACTACTTACAATAGCCAAGACATGGAAACGACCTAAATGTCCACCAACAAATGAATGGATAAAGAAAATGTGGTACATATATACAATGGAATACTACTCAGCCATAATGCATTAACATGGATGGACCTAAAGATGATCATACTAAGCTATATGTGGAATCTAAAATACGACACAAATAAACCTATCTACGAAACAGAAACAGACTCACAGACATACAGAACAGACCTGTGGTTGCCGAGGTGGAGGGGGAAGTGATGGATTGGGAGTTTGGGATTAGCAAACTACTATATATAGAATGGATAAACAACAAGATCCTACTGTATAGCACAGGGAACTATATCCAATATCCTGTAATAAACTATAATGGAAAAGAATACAAAAAAGAACATATATAACTGAATCACTTTGCTGTAGACCAGAAGCTAACACAACATTGTAAATCAACTACACTTCTATAAAAAAATAAATTTAAAAAATATTTCAGGCAGCTGTTAACAGCATTCTAGAACTCTCTTGTAATTTGTTCTATAGAAAATCATCCAACACTGGACACGCAATCTGTTTTGGGTATGTTAAAGCAGAGAGTTGAATTTACCTTCTTTGAGCATGGATTTATTAATATTTTCACAAATTTTAAACTGTCAGTATTCACATAGGTTAAGGATTTTGCTATTTTTTTTACCAGTTAGAATGGGGTATCTTGCTGTGAACTGGTTATAGGTTTGCATCAAGGCCCATGGTTGACAAAAAGATATCTGAACAGGAAAACAGTGCTCCCAACTTAAGATGCCAAAATGCACGCGAGATCCAGTTATACCCACACCAAACAATTCTCCCAGGCCTCAAGAGTCTTCAACCATCTATACACACTTGCTTGGTTCTGCTAACATGTGAAAATGACTTCTGCGGGACTTCCCTGGTGGCACAGTGGTTAAGAATCCGCCTGCCAATGCAAGGGACACGGGTTCGAGCCCTGGTCCGGGAAGATCCTACATGCCGCTGAACAGCTAAGCCCGTAGGCCACAGGTACTGAGCCTACATTCAAGAGCTCGCGAGCCACAACTACTGAGCCCACTAGCTGCAACTAATGAAGCCCGCGCACCTAGAGCCCGTGCTCCGCAACAAGAGAAGCCGCAGCAATGAGAAGCCCGCGCACCGCAACTAGAAAAGCCTGCGCACAGCAACAGAGACCCAACACAGACAAAAATAAAATAAAATAAACTTATTAAAAAATAGTAAAATGACTTTTGCGTGAATAAATGGCTTCAACTCCATCCTGGGCTGGGGAGGGGGAGGCAAGCTGAGAAACAAGACTTTAGTCTCTTCCAAGCAGTTTTCATCTCTCTATGTCCTATAAACCCAAGATGTTACAACACAGACTGGGTCCACTTTCAGAGGGGAATTTATCTGTACTTTTGTCAATAATGTTTTTGCACAGCTGTCCATCACAGAATTATACTTCCGAAACCTGTCTTTTTTGAAAACTTTGGTGTTTTTTTTAACCTCCTAAGTCTTCTCTAGAATTGCAGTGTGTGCATAACCCCTATCTAAAGGCTCAAAATTTCCACGCTGAATTTTACAAAAATGAACGTTCATGTTCCTTGGCATTAGGTAGTAGCAGAACATTGTCTGTTTCTGGAGTTTTCATCATAGACTGTCAGGACTCCATAAACTCAATAGCTTAAATGCAAGGGATTAGTAATAGTCCAAGAGTAGGTTTGCTCATTTCCACATTACCAACCAGGGTTGTGATACAAGCAAGAACATGATTTTCCAATTAATCCCAACATTTAAAGCAAGATAATTACAGTTAAATATGGTATGCTACTGAATGCATATCAACAAGCGGCTATAATCAATGAGTTGTGTGAACCGGTCAGAATCTCAGATGCTTAAGTGAGAAAATGAAGGAAATGGTGGGGGGATGGTGAGTCCAGAGGACTAGTCTCACTTATAATTAGGTGAAATGACCATGTCAAAAAGTAAGCTTCCAGCAACCACGTGGAACATCAAAAGTGATTCTACGCTAAGGGTTGCTCTTCGGTTCAGGAAAAGTCATTTCTGTTTTCCTGGGACTGTCCCATTCCAGAATAAAAATCTGTCCTCTCCAATTTAAAAATATCAGAGAGTCTCTAATTCCAGTGTCAAGGTTGCTTACTTTATCTGGTTTCTCAGATCATCTCAATCAGCCAAGACTCCATCACCTGCTCCATTTCACCTCACCTGTCCAGACGCATCTCTGGCCACTGCCCACTTCCTGGCTCCCATAGGACAGGTCCCTTACTCGGCTCTCTGCCCCCTCTACATGCAACCATTCAACAAATATTTATCAAGCACTAGTTTAGATACCATGATGCAGTGGAGAGCAAGAGTTATCATGAAGATTACACTCTAATGTAAAATAAATACATATATATATAGATATATGATGATCTCAGAGAATGACAGTGCTAGGAAGAAGCACCCAAGGAGAGCACATGGCAGAAAATGATTAGTAAACATGATGTCACATAAGGTGACCAAGGAAAGGCCACTGTGAGAAGCTAAATGGAAAAAGGAGACAGCAACAAGGAGGTGGTCAGAGGGAGGCATGATTCTGGGTCCTGACTGCCTATTAGATTCAAAATACCGATGCCTGGGCCACATCCCCAATACTCTTGATTTAACTGGACTCAGGGGGGGCCCATGCTTCTAAAAAGTCCCCCTGGTGATGCTACCATGCACCACACACATAGGTATCATGGACCATGGAGGAACTGGGGTTTTATCCTAAGCACAAGGGGAATCCCCTGGAAGGTTCTAAATGACATCATGCCTCACACTTTTAAAAGATCATGCTGGCTGCTCTATACGAATGGATTGTCGAGGTGAGACACAGTGGAGAAAGGACACCAGTGAGGAGACTGGCAGGTACAACGAAAATGGGGAGAGATAAAAAGACGGAGGACCTATTTTGAATCGATAAGAGTTGCTCATGGTTTAGCTGGGACTAGCCATTAACTGGGGGAGGAAAGGCAAATACTCAAGGGCACTTAGGTCTTGGGTGTAAGCAAATGAGTGGACGGTATTCTTCTTTGGTAGGAGAAGACTGAAAAAAGAAAAACACTAGGGAATAGGAGACAGAGTCAGGAGACCTATTTGGTCTTCTGCTTCCCATCCTGAACAAGGGAGCCCTGAGCTATTAGGTGGGATGGGGCAATTTAGGCATCTGCAAAGGTGTGGCTGGGAGGATCCACACGGGACCAGGCTGGCATGGGTTGTCAGAGCCCAAGCAGAACAAGGTGGGCATCCATGTGGGCGTGTGGGGCTCACATGGGGCGTTAGAGCCTGAGTGGGGTGAGGAGAAGGCCATCCACACGGGACTTGGGGCAGGGGTGGACCGCCACGGGTTATCAGAGGTGAGGAAGCCGTCCACGTGGGAGACGGTGGTAATGAAGAGGGGGAGGGGCTACACGCAGGGGAATTGATCAAACACGCAAACATATTAGAAGTAGTGGAAGCCAGGCTTGCTGCCGTCACAGAAGGGGGTTACGAGTACAGAAAGCGAAAATACTAGAATGAACCCTGTGATGCTGAGTTGGAACTGAAGGTCTCCCCATGCACTCATGACTTTTAAAATGCGTAGAGAGGTCAAAATTCATAGAGGTGTTCATCTATATTTATACGCACATGCATGTTAGCCCTAGCTCTGCTGACATACCTGTTGAGTTTCTATTTTTCTGACCCTGATGCAGCTGATGGAGAGCTCAGAAAGAAGACCTGGAACTGGCCCAGAGAGCATCCAGACCAAACTGAAGCCAGAGGACAGAGGATTCCATGAGGAACAAATCCAAGGAAAACAATGGAACTGTGAAATTATCTCATTTGTCTGAACATATTAGAGGGAGGCAAATGATTCTGTCAGAAAGTCTGGCTATGAAATCGAGGTAGGTCCACAGAGAACCAAGAAAAAAGAAATAACACCTCTAGAAAAACCTAGTATTCAAGAAAGGAAATGTTATCAAGGTACATGGATAGGTT